TTCTCTGCTGCCTCTAACCTGTGCCTCCTGTCAGAAGGGCAGGATTAGCCATTTCAAAACGTGCTGCTGGTCACGACCGTTCTGCTGCAAGGTTGAGGTGTCTGGGAAGCTCACAGAATTCAAGCAGTCACACTTTAATGATCATTCAGGCTTTATTTCTTGCCTTCCACCATGATAATGTGGTACCCAAACTTTGTTTTGACAGGAGGGTCTGTGTATACAGGCTTGTCCATGCTGCTTATGGGCAAAGCAAATGCTGCATCCTGGAAAGGTCCCACCATGGAACCTCTGGTCATCCAGCCCAAGTCTCCCTGGAAGGAAGAATCAGTAAAGTTAAGCTCGGAGAATGTAGTTGCAAAACGTGTCTCCTTAGCCCTTCCTGCTAAGGAGACACCTTATGAGACATGGGGACCATTCATTCCAGTGAGTGTTTGGAAGTCTCAGTGTCTGCAGTGTGCAGCCCTTCATACAGGGGAGGATGACACGGGTGAATGCTGTGGTTCCTCTCCAAAAGTGATGGCTGGTGAGAACCAAAGCAGGGCAGCCCCCTGCTCTTAACAGGGCTGCTGTAGGGCTTGTATGCTTCAGCTGGGCCTTTCTGCTCTCTTGGCTTTGTGCATGTAAAGGAAACAACATTCATCTTGCTTCTCCTATTCTTTCTTCTATCAAATGCCTCTCCACAGGCACAATATTCCTCCGTCATCCCTCTCTGATCCCACAGCTCTATTCAATGCCTATCCCCAAATCCTAGTGCTGGGGGCTAGTCTGAATTAGGGGACCATGTGCCTGGAAGATGCTGAGAGCTGGGCGGCCTCAGCCCCAAGAGCTGTTTCCCTCAATAACTGGCTGAACAGGCATTGCTGATGAGTAGAGGGAGAGGCATAACTATCCTTAGGGCAACACTTGATGACTGCTTATCTGAACAGGAGTCCCTAACCCCAGCTCTGCTGGCATGTGCAATCCCAACTGCTTGTGCCTTTGCACAGCAGTCAAGGCTGCCCCTGGCACGGCTGCGGAGGCACCAGGGACATGAGGATGCTGTGTGTGACAGTTCTCAAACAAACTCTGTGGAGGTGCCTGGGGACACGAGGGGCTCTCAGGGATGCAGTGCTGAAACACCCCACGAAAGAGGCCGTTTCCCTGCGGAGTGCCTGGAGCGTGGGCAGCCGCGCGTACCCCTTGGCGGGCTTTGTCCTCGCTGTACTGCGCAGCCACCTCGCTGAAGCGCACGCCGGCCTTCAGCTTCTCCATGGCCTCCATGGCTTTGCTGTGTTTCTCACAGAA